ATGCCAGCAACGTCCCACCATTGCCAGGTCTCTGAGGCGGGCGAAGCGACAAGCGCGGGGGTCTTCGTGGTTTTGGGAGCCATTGGGGGTGGCTCTCATCGTTTTTTTAGGAAGTTGGATCCCCCAAAACGCGTGGGTTGTGTTTCTTATCTTTAGGGGTTTCCCCATACAGCCACGGCATCCGGGGTGCCCTCGAAAAAAATGACAGGCATGTAATTACTTGCAAAGGAGGTTCCTCGCATTCCTGGTTTTTCGGTTTCCCCAATAACCAAACAGGATGTATATATTTCGGGAGGTTCCTCGCATTCCTGGTTGGCGCGTGTGTTTCTTTGCTGACCGGAGAGTGTTTGCGCCACCCCGCGGTTTCGGGGCTTGCGCAGGCCATGTGCTGTGCCATGACGCCCAAGAGAGCCATGCTGCGGCAGATTGGCAACAGGCCAGGGTTCTGGCCCATTGAGGTGACCACCTCAAATCTGCACAACTGCCCTGTGGGTTATCAGGGAAAGCCACCGGTCCCTTTTTTTAGGTTCAAGGGACCCAGATCTGAAAATGGCGAACCCCGAGTTGCTTGGTTGTGAAAGGATTGAAAGGGAAAGCAAAAGAAACTAGCCAGTTTGGGGGGGAAATGGGTCTTCTTGAAGCAACACCCGTTTGCACAAATGAATGTTGCTTCACGGCAGTGGCTCCTTTCGTGAGGCGCTTTTCGTGAAGCGTGCGAGCGGCAGGTGCTTCTGTGCTGAGCTGAGCTCTCATCCGGACTTGAAATCGCAAGAGGCAAGCTGACGGCACGACGCAGCGACCGATGGGTTAGCAAATGCGTTTGGAGGATGCCCTTTGCCAGTTGACGGGAAACCAAAAGGAGAGCCTATTCTTGTTGGATCCTTCACTTTTGATACATACCTTGGTCAAGCGCTGGGTATTTTGCAGCTGGGCAAGCTCCAAACTTGGCCTACCAGTTATGCAAGTTTAAGATACCGACATGTTGGGAACCTCAAAATGGTGGACCCCTTTTTGGTTGCTATCATTGCTATCTACGTTAATCAAAAGGGCGCCAACCATTTAGGGGTCCCCTATTTTGAGAAACACCCATTTGGGAGTCTCGGAATGGACTCAGCTTCTTCCACGCCGCGCAGACGCGCCAGGCAGTTGATGCGCACTGCGACCCGGCTGGAGTTGTGGATGGTTCATCAACTCTACGGGGAAAATCATGCTTGTTCCATCAGATGGCTTAAAGGCTTTGCAGCAGCGAAGAATTCTCAGAAAGCAATGCAGATTGTTGCATTGTTTGTTTGGGCGTAAAATGCACCCATCGGGCAGACGCTGCATGGCTTGCTGTGCTAAATAGCACATTGTTGGTCAGTTCCTAGAAGAAACTGAAAGGGGCAGATAGATTTCATGATTTTCCAGACCCCCGATTTGTCAACGACCTCGGACGGTAAGCCTTCCGGGGACCTGTCGCATGGGCAACGGAGGGGCAGAGCCTGTTTGACTCTCTACCCGGTTCCAAAACCATCGGGTTGGGGCGGGTTGAGAAAGAGACTCCCAGTTTTGTAACCCTCGCCCCAACGTGCTCATAGAAATGGACGTTTTGGGAGCTTCCCCAAAAGGAAAGCTTTCGTCTTCCAGAGCCCTGCGATTGTCAGCTTCCGTGAGCATGTGGTGGGTGCGGAGGGTCATTACACTCCCTCAGACTAGCAGAAGGAAGCTCCCTCAATTGGCCTCTGTAAATGAGCCACAATCAAAACCCGGTAGATGAAGGTTAGTAACGGATACTCCCAACCATCAATAGCTGCGGCAGCCTTCTTAATTCTTTACATGGTTCTGGATAGACCATTTTAATACCGGGTTTTGATTGTGACTCAAATGGGTCACCAAGTCTTCCATTTCGGGGTCCCTTCGGGCGCTTCCATGGACTCGTCTGGGGGAGGGTGTCTCCAGATCAGAGCTGTCTGTCCAGGTGCCAGCGTGGTGAAGCCCTGCCCACAGTTTCGGCAGGCGTGGAGAAGTGTCCACTACCCCGAAAAACTGCCCGCAAGGGAAGACTGGATCAAAGGTTTGATGTGTATCTATATATATATATATACAGAAACACATCATGTAGTCAATACACATTTGTTCAGTTGTTTTCCAGTTTTTTTCTTTCAGTTGTTTCTCAGTTTTTTCAGTGTTTGTTCAGTTGTTGTTTTTCCCGATTTTTTCAGTTTTTTCAGTTTCCAGAGCGCTTCCTTGAAGAGATGCCCTTACGCAATCCTAGTGCTTTGTTGCTCAGACAATACTGGGGGAATAATAAAGGTGAATACTAGGAGAAAGCTGAAAAAAACAGAGCAAAAAAAAACCTAAAAAGCCAAGGATTCAGGGGGGCATGCCTGGGGGTGCCCCATGTCCCCTGAATCCTTGGTTCTTCCTTGAAGAGATGCCCTTACGCAATCATAGTGCTTGGTTGCAGCATTGGCTGCCAAATGAGAGGCTTTTGACAGATGCAGACAGTGTGTGTTCTGGCAGGTGTTGGTGACAAAGCACTGTAAATACCAGTGTGTTCTCACAATTTTTATTTTTATTTTTATTTTTGGGGGGGGGATGCCATACAATTATATATATATATAATTATATATCTATGACTATGTTATACCCCACTTTTTCTCTGGGCTATGTGTTTTTTGTTGGGGGGGGAGGGGGTGGAAATCATGTTGGAGTGAGAGTGCGCAGACTCGCTGTTGCCAAACGTCGCAAAGACCGCAGGAGGATTGCTGCCAGCTGACTCCGGCCAAGTACCTGGTGGGCGATGATATCGGCAACTTGGCCATAGGATGTGCTGAGAAGTCGACTTGTTGGGTGGTTTGAAGGGAAACAAAGAGGATGCCGCCCGCGTTGAGGGTCCCTCCATTTGGAGCCAATCCGTTGTGAATTTTCAGGAAGCGCGGGAAACGAACAATGACAAAACGGTCAGAGTTGACATGGTCAAATGACGTTGCACATCAAGCAACCCTTAAGTTCCCGACAGCAAATCATCACGTATCCTCTCCGCTTGGATGTTTGTCCTTTTTTAGGTTGGACCCCCCAAAATCATGTTCCTTTTGGTTCCCCCTTAAAAAGCGCAGAAAAGAGACGCGCTTACGTGCCGGAACCCAGCTGGTTAAGCTGGTGGTGAAAAGAACGGGCAGGTTCCTCGATTTGGGTTCTATGTTTGGGAGACCTCAAAAGAATCTTTGTTGGTTACCAAGAAAACAACTAGCCAGCAGAACATTGGATCCGAATTGGATCCTATTTGTTGGGTTCTCCACACAGATTCGTGCCAGCGCAAGTTCTTTTCCTCCAAAAATGCTGTGAATGTACACCTGCTGGCGGGGGTTGCAACTCGAATCAGACACTACTGCTGCAACGCTGCGCTAGCGCGAATGTACAGCCGCAAGCAGGAGGAATTTGAGATTGCTGCTGCAGTGCTGCGCCAGCGCAACGTCTCTTCTGGAGCTTGCGTTTGGAGGTCGTCATGAAACTATTCTATTCAGCTAGTATTCCGACGGGCGGAAGGGCGGCGGAAGTCACGCGGAAGGCCAGGCGAGTGACATATGGGTGTGTGAGTGTGTGTGTGTGTCGCAAAACAGCCCCCACGGCCAAGAAATACACGAGGAAAACTGCCCAAGTCGCGCGGAAGCAATGCGGAAGGCGCGGAAGACGAAATTGCCCAGAGCTTCCACGAGGAAGTGCCCAGGTCGAAGCGGCTCAAAGTGCCTAAACTTCCGGCCGTTTTACTTGGCTACAGCACTCAGGTCAAGGCAAGCCTTTCATCACCGAGATGTTGCGACCGAAGAAAATGTGGTCGACACGGAGAAAAAAACAACAACCGGCAAGCCTCTCGCCCGCTGAATGCAGAGCGGCCGGTCCAGAGGATGGGATCGGCTTGCGCCCGCCGCGTGAGCAACTAGCAACCCATGAGCTTGCAAAACAAGCTAGACGTGCAGCTCAATCGACAATCAGGCAGCATCACTTTGCCTGTTGGGGGTGGCTTTTTCGAGGGTTCCCCTTTTAGGGGGCTCACAAACACAACATAATCGAAAGGGAAACGGCCCCTTTCGGCATCCTCATTTTGGAGACAAGCTTGTTTGGGTTGCTCAAAGTCATGGTAGTGGATTTCCCTGTCGTGGGATGAAGCATCGCCCGCCATTTTGAGCAACCCAGCTAAGCATGATAACATCCGCGCCAACTGTCTAGCCCCATGTCCGAAGTGGGGATATGGGTGTGGGTCAAAATTAAACCCAAAAAAAAAAAACACGCAGGTTCTAGTCCAAGTGTCCATGTAGCAGGCACTTTTCTATGGCCCACAGCTCTTTGATGGATGAGAGGAAACGGCCACTTGCTTGGGTTGGCTATGAAGAGAGAGGAACATATTTTGGGCCCACGTCCATAGCTCAAAGTTGCGGGACAGCCCACCCGCTCCGTTGGCCTGAGAGGTCCGTTTGGACTCCGAGGCGTGCAGACGGGCGTGGACCCCTCCCAGATGTGCACCTGCGCAGGTCCGTTGAAGGACTCCCCGGGGGTTGTGGGGGGGAAGACGAGTACCCTCAGACCAACCTTCCCCAGAGTGAGTTCCCCTTCTTAATTGTTTGCTTTTTTGGGGTTCCCTTTGTTTTCCACTAACTAGGCAAAAGAGATGTTCTTTGGCTGGGGTCCTGATTTCAGCCAAGCAACATGGAAGCTCCCCGAAGGCGACCGTAAACCGGACCATGTTTTCCAGGGCGGTTTTGGGAGTCGTTTGGGAGGGCATTCGTAATGAACAGGGCGAGGTTTGCGGCTTCGCTCAATTCTGGGTTCTTTTTGCAGTAGGGTGTGGATTTGCGTATTCTCCAAAAAAGACCCCCTCATGGCTTGATCAAGAGCGCATAGAAGTCACCAGCAGCTGCTTGATTTCCATCCCAAAGGCCTGAGGCAGGCGTAGCGCAGGCCAGCCGCTACACCGAGCAAGAGGCCAGTCCACCCAAGTCCACCAGTCCGGTCCGGTCGGAAGTCGGAAGGCTTTGCGATGGCTGGGTGAAGGGAAGCTTGAAGCCTTTCTTCTAGGTCCCCCAGCTAGGTGCCAACTTTTACCGTTTCTTTTTTGGGGGAGGGCTCCCCTACTAAAATAGACTCTCTACTTGAGGACCTAGTCTTGCTTCATTCTTGAGAACTTGTCTTGCGAAGTGGGGGTCCCCACGATTTCACCATCAAAGCAACTTGCTTATTTGCGAAGTGGCGCCACAATTTCACCATCAAAGTCACCTTTGAAGTGGTGGAAACCACCCAAGTGTCTGACTTGACTCCCAGAAACAGTCAAAATGATGGCGGCGGTTTTCCATGAAGGCCTTCAGCCCAAGATGGCTGGCTGATTTTCAGAGTCGGAGCCGCCTCAGAAGTTGGTGGACATAAATCCCCAAACGTCAACCAAAGGGTTCCCCATGAACATTCACACCCAGAAATTATCAAAACCTTCCAAGAGAGAAGGACCAGCTCGGAAGTTTGTGAGGTCTCTCCGAAAACTTGTTTTTTGACTTGTGCCCTCCCATGCTGAGTCAGCTGAGTCATCGGTGTACTTTCTGGCCAAAACTCTCGTTTCAGGTTCGGTCAAAAAGTCTGCATGCCTATTGCTGGAAGGGGCATGGCCCATGGAATAAAGTGTTGCTTTTCTCTCTCCAAGGGCTGGTGGTGTTTTTCAGCGCTGGGGCAAAAAAGCCAGCCTGCCCATGGGGGAAACTAAGCATTTTCCCACGCGCGCAGTTTCCCATGTCACGGGCCCCACATTCGAGAACCTGCCAGGCCATTGACAGCGCCTGTGGCAAGCTGTTCACCCCATGCAGCGAGCTGCAAGAGGCCTGGGGAAGCGGACATGGAACGGTGGTGTCTTCGTTGCAAATGGCTACCCTGCCAAGGACGAAATGGCTGTGGGTCAAAAATAGGTACCCATTTTGGGAACCCTGGTAAATGGACACGTGGACTAAAACCTGCAGTCCTGGTAGTTTAATTTTGACCCGCAACCAAATAACAACCGGCTTGAGAGGTGGAAAAATGGAGTATGGGTAGGGGGCCCTCTCCTTTCACCCCTGATAAGGGCGTAGTGATCACTTTGGCTTCGAGCGAACAGTCCTGAGGTGACTTCCCTTGTCAATCGTGGTCTTGCTGACATCATTCTCCAACTAGATTGCTTCGTGGGTCGTGCTTGCTCAATGTAACCAAACCAATTGGTTGTTCAAGGACAAGTGTGACTTCAGACTTAACTAAGCTTTTTGCCCGTCCCCCTTTCCCTAACCCGTTTGCCCGTTTGGGCTTCCTTTGTTTTACCATCCTCCTCGCAGGTGCATTGCTGCTTGTCCTCACCAATGCGGTTCAGGGACGGCAGCAGCTTGGCACGCCCATTCAACATACCCGGTCTCCAATTGATGTCATATCTTGAGGTTGACAACATATGAAACAGAGTCTGAACATGATTTGTTTGTGGCTGGGGTTGGGCCAAGATGCTCTGCAGATAAACATCTCAACCCGAAAAAGTCGTGCGGTTTTCTGGGGATCTCTCGGGTTTGGGGAACCTCCTTCGCCAGTGGAAGGGGAGCAATTGCACGTGGGAATCTCCAATTGGAGAGTAAACACCAATGAGCCACAATCAAAACCCGGGTAGATGAAGGTTAGTAAGGGGCAGTCCTAGCCAGAAATAGTTGCGGCCGCCTTCTTAATTCTTTACATGGATTCTGGGTAGACCATTTTGATACCGGGTTTTGATTATGACTCCAATGCCAACGTCTCAACGTTCACGTTCACGGGAGCACTCAGTGGACTGAAAGGGTTCTGCAAAGGGTAAACACCAATGCCAAGGCGTTAGCGCAAAAGTGGCGTTCAAGTGCACGGTAACACACGGTGGGCTGAATGCGGGCGGGTAACCACCTGATGCGCTCCAGAAAGGGGAAACGCTCTGATGAATCAAGGAGGGTTGATTTTCTTCGGGTTGCCAATTAGCAAGTCATTTCTTGGTGGCTCCCAGCCATCCCCTTAGCCTTTTGGCTTTTTAGTGTTTAGTGGTAGTTTCCATTTAACCCTTGAAAAGTTAGTCCCTTTTAGCGGGGGATCCGAAAACGGGCAGCCAGTCCATGTTCATGGGACTTTTGTCTGGGGTTGGACTGTGTATGGCGCGGAAATTTGGACTGCTCGTTAGGCGGCGATCGCTGCTTTTGCTCTGGACCAGTTGCACATGGACGCTTCAAGTCACAAGAGGCCAACGCGAAGGGCGCTGAAAGTGGACCTCTTGTCCATTCTGTTCAACCGTCGCTGTTTTCACACCAGCTGTTCTCCCAGGGTTTGGAAGGTTGTGTGTTGGGAAGAATGGGCTTTGTAGAGAGGAAGGAAGGAAGGAAGCAAGGAAGGAAGGAAGGAAAGAAGGAAGGCAGGAAGGAAGGAAGGAAGGAAGGAAGGGAGGGAGGGAGGGAGGAAGGGAGTGCACTTGAGCAGGATCCAGCGAGGGATACGGAAGAATTAGGAAGCGCTCCAAGTGGTTGGTTTCCTTTTGAATTCACTTGTACATCCAGGAAACGACGATGCCCACAGTGAAGTCACGCACAGTTTGCACGCGTTGTTGTTCAATGTGAGCAGCATCCGAAATGATCATGGTTTTCGGCCATAGCGCGTACGAGCAACTGAGTCGTCTACTGCTGGGGAGGGCATGGTGGGCCCACAAAGGTTGCCCGTATCCTCTTCAAAAAGCAGGTGAATTGTCTGGGACTCACAGTCCTTCTGAAAAAGCACACCAAACCGCTGTCAAAACGGGTACAACGTGTTTTCTCTCGCCGTGAGAAAGACCATGTTTAAACGCTTTTCGGAAGCCCCCCCGCCCGCTAGATGGTGATGCGATGATGCCAAACGATGCCTTTGAAGAGATGCCGCCCAAGTCTGCCACCTCTTTGAGTCAGAAACTTTTGCATCAAGGACGTGTTGGTAGTCTTAGTGACCACGCAGTGGAGTTTGAAACCTGCTAGTATCTTGATCACAAGCCGCTTGATTTGACAATGACACAGTTTCGAACTTGAGCTTAATGCCTGTCCATTGTGTCTGATTAAACCAACAAAACAATCTGCGCATGTTGACACTTATGTTATGCTCAGCGATGTGTGTTTTGCCGCATTCACGGAGTTTTTACAGGCTCTGTCCACTGGCACGCCTGCAAGTGAAGGGTCAATGCAAGTTTTGGCCCGGGTCACCGCAAACGAAACAGGGTCTGGCAAAAGGATGTTCAGAAGCATCCTGTGCTCGCATTGGGAGGTGATCGATGAGAGATGTAGTGACGAGCTGAAGCACCTTGGCAAACATAGCCGGCATAGCAGGGTCACTTGGGGAAGACTCAGATCAGTGGCCCGGCCACGTTTGATCCATCTTTGCTTGGACTCATTCAGCGCGCAAGCACGGACTGGGCCCCAGTTTTCACCCGAGCCTTTCGGGGAGGAGTCACTTGTCTCAATTCTCAGGCATACCGAAGTGCATGCGGCTAGACCACTCGGATGACATGAATGCCGTTGATACATCGAAATGGTTCTTCTCGCGCATGCCACGCTCTTTCTTTCTTTTTCTTTTTCTTTTTTTTTTTTTTGGGGGGGGGGGGCGGGGGGGAGACCAAAAAGAAACCACCCACGTCACAGTTTCTGCAGTCATCTTCTCTCTTTCTGTCAGAATTGGGGCCTATGGCTTGCGTTGAAAACCAAACAACCACTTCTCGTTTCCTCTGGTCCAACCTCCTCGAGCCTCGAAAACAAAAAGTAAGTTGCCCTTTCCAGAGAACCCCTCAAGGATGGGTGGTGTCCATCTTTCATTTGGGTCTTTGTTTGTGGGTCCCCCAAGAATCTTAAGCTACGCGTTTCCCTGTGCAATTCCGTTAAAGCCGCAAAAGGGGTACCGAATCGACCGACCATGTAAACCCCTGGGGAGCCCCAAAAAAGGGGGTGTTCAACGAGCCGAAGACGGGCCGTTTTCCGAGCCACCAAAGGAAAGACGGGACGCATCCATTTTGCCCATGGCTCGGGTCTCCAGGTCCTGCGACGACCTGAAAGTCGCGAGCTGCTGCGCCAAGACGCCGAAGCAGGCGCTTCGGTCCGCCGGGTTTGTCCGGCGGGTGGGTTTCCGGTGACCGAAAACATCGCCAATGTTGAGGCGTCAAGATGTCCAGTCCAAGTTCAGTTTGAGGTTCAGGACATGGGGGACATCACTCGAAGCTTTCCCCGGCCAGCGACAATCAGACGCCAACCGAGGTCCGCGTCAGCGACGGCATGGGAGGCTGCTGGTGCTCTGGGCCCTTCCGGAATGGACTTCTGGCAGATTTGTTGGAGTCAGATGGCAACGTTGGGCCGACCCGCCGTTTTGGTCGTGTTCCCTCTCCCTGAGATGGACTTGAGTTCACTTGTTGGGGTGTGGACCGGTTTAGCGGTAACAAAAAAAAGGTTACTTGTTTGGCCAGTCCACTCAAGTGAGCGTTAAAACACCTCCTCCTTCGGAGTCCCACGGAAAGTAATAATCGGCCGAAATGAGCCGGTTGCTTCCTGGTTGCAATTTGTGCAACCCCTTTTGGTGTTCATCATCATCGGGCCAATTTGATGTGGGTTTGTAACGTTGAAACCAGGGAGTCTAGGGTGGGCCATGTTCGCCCTTTCTGTGAAGGCAGATCACTTGGTCCTGATAGGATGAGCATCGTCACATCTGCCGCCATGAAATTGTTGATAAGCGGTCTTCAGTTGTGACATACTGACACACGTCCTGAAATGATATGTGATAAATGGGTGATGCGGCCCCAAGACCCCCATGACATCCTTGCACGAATCTCTGGTGCCAAGGAAACACCACCTACACCCAGCAGGTGATCGAGGCGAAGTGTGCTTCTGCAGGTCTCCTAGCTCTGGCAGCTTTGGGGGGAGTTTGTGAGGACACCCTTTCTCTAGGGTTCCTTGCCCCCATCTAAATAAAAAAGAGGCAAGGACCCGATTTGGATGTTGAGAATTCTTAGGTAAATAATGGTGGTTTTATGAACCCCCATTGTTTGAATATTGGTTTGAACCGTGGGCTTTGATGGTTTGGCTGTCGGATTGGAGGTTCTCACCATTCCTTGTACGCAGTTCGCCGAATCGGCATGCCACTTGACCGAGGCAAGTACAATCCAGATGTGAGCGACCAGCTGATGTGTGAACTGTGTGAACCGCTTCAGAGATATTGCGACTCGAGTAAATGGCCGCGAGCGCTTTGCTTGAGCAGTCCAAACTTGGAGGTGCTTGAGCAGTCCAAACATGGAGGCTTTACGACGGGTCCTGTTGCTCAATCACTTTGACTGTTTAAGTCGACATGGCAGATTCATATTATTTCCTTGAACAATCCATACTTTTCCGGCCGTTTCCCATCAACCACATGGGACAGCATCCAGTAATTATGATGCCATTCTGAAACATGTGGATTGACCGAAGTTGATAAAGAGCAGAGCTGTAAGAGATCCAAGATAGCACGGGCCACGTTTGGGTTGGCTGCATCCGACCACTTCATCTAAATAACAAGTTGGCTTCGGACGGCATTGCCATCCCTTGGCACTGCAATCGATCGGGTGATTTCAGACCTTTTCCCAGATCGAATTGGAGCTGGGATTCGGCTCGGGCGCCGGGATTCGGCTGCCCATCCAAGCCTTGCAAAATGCCAGGCATCGCGAAGTGAGGCGGGGGCTGCAACAGGTTGAGCTTGAAGGCCAAAGAGAACGGGTCCCAAGCTGGTTCGGTCGATGGGTCAATGGGTCGAGCAGATGTAGACCTGACGCACTGACAGTTGCCCGGGTCGCATGGACGCGGTTGAGAGCTGATGGCTTCAGTGAATGGACACAGATGACACTGACATATTAAGCGTTGTTCGTTCAGCGGATAGGCACAGATAGGCACATCTCAGCCTCGGATAGAACAAGTTCATCGTCGGACTAGCGTCATTCTTGGACTTCACTCAGACACATCTCAGTTTGTTCGGGTTTTTCGGACGCCCTTTTCGGGGTGCGGTGGACGGTGGTGCCATTTCCTCGTAGCCATGGATGCCATGGAACCCGAGCCAGAGGGCCCCTCAGAGGGCTCTGTCGTGGGGTCGATGTCCGTCCACTCCCGGGAGAATTCCCAGGATGATGCCTCCGACTCTGGGTCGGAGCACTTGTACAACACGGACCACGCGCCTCGGAGAAATCCAAAATTCCGGAACTTCGGGAAATTCGGCCGGGGGGGGGCGGCGAAAAAAAGGAAGGGCAACGGGCAGAAAGAAAAGAAGAAGCCCTTAAGAGATGCAAGCCACAACCCTGACCAGCCCTAAACCAACCCTAAACCAGCCCTAAGTCAACCCTAAACCAAACCTGAATAAACCCTAAGCAAACCCAAAACCAAACCTGAATAAACCCTAAGCAAACCCAAAACCAACCTCTAAACCGACAATGCCGCAAACTGCCTGCGCCTTTCCTACGGCCTCTCAGGAGTCGGATGGGGAGTTGGAGGCTATCCAGCGGGGCGTCGCTCGGCCGCCTTTGGTGCAGAAGGTGGAGAAGTTGATGACAGACCTGCGGCAGAGGCAAGAGAGGTTCAAACGCCGACGCGACAACCTGGTGGCGAGGACGAATTTGGCAAAGACCGGTTTGGGTGGCCAAGAGCATCCAAGAGCCTCCTTAGACCCTCAAACCTTACGAAGAAAGATTCACCTCATCATGTTGGGGCAATGTCCCGGTTTGAGGGCTCATCGTCAAGTTGAGCCAAGTTCGCTTCAGCGTAAGCTGAGGCACAGAGCGTCTCGCGGGGCATCCGAAAGGAGTTTTTGCAGCAGCAGGAGCGGATTGTCCTGCGCAGCAAGCAACTCATTTGCAAAGCAGAGCTGTGTATTTAGGATTTGGGTATGGGTCAAAATTGAACTACCATCGGACCGCAGGTGTTAGTCCAAGTGTCCATTTACCAGGGTTCCATTTTGGGACCACTTGCTTGCGGGGTTGGCTAAGATGAAGAGAGAGGAACAGAGGCAGGCGTTGCGCACAGATGCTCTGAGGCAAATGGCCAAGAAGTTACAGAGTGGCCGATCAAGAGCCTGGCGGCACAAGTGGGTCTTTGCCCTTGTAGAGGCCAACTGGGAAAAGAGCTAGAGTTTGAACACGGGAATGGGCTAGGTGATGGGTGGTTTGCCGATTCGCGGGTAGGCAGAGAGGGGAAGCGGGGTATGTGTACTCCATGCTGAGTGACCAAGTGACAATGCCAATGCGCTGCACTCAGCTTTGACAGCCTCGAACCAGATTTGCCCGACATCGCGTGCAGACTGAGATGGAACCCAAACAAGACATAGCAACGCCCAAACCCCCCCTAATGGCCATCTTAGCAGTTAGCTATCAATCATAGCTTGGGTTCCTATATTTCCGCTTTGGGTGGTTTTAAGCATCACCTTTTTTTGGCCCATGAAAGGTGAGTGTCCCATGTTGTGCGCGATGTTTTAAGAGGAAACCTGGGGAGCCCTGTCTAGTGGGGCCGATATAAACCTCTACAGACCTTTTAAAAATTCCCCTGACAGGCGGACTTTGTGGTGACAGCCTTCTGGCTTGGAAAATCACCAGAGACCTTCTACGTCTACTTCACTGCACAGATGGCAGTAGTACTGCTGGTCAAAATCTTTGACTACAGATTTACGGCTCAACATTACTTCCTGCTGGACTTCTGTTTCTTTTCCAATGCTTGTACTCTAACGTGGCTCTGGCTTTGTCCCACCTCTGGCTGGCTCTTCAATGCGGTCGAGGCGTTTTGTGGGGTGCTCGCCATATCAGTGCCGTTGTTCCGAAATTCATGTGTGCCGCACGACTTTGCGCGCATTTCAAACGCGTACGTCCACTACCCGCAGCTCTTACTGGTGCTGAGCGTGCTTTGGAGTTGCGAAGGTGACCTTTGTGTGGGCGTTGAAGCGGGCTACAGCGAAAGATGGAGCTCCCGAATCTTCCACGCGTGGTCTACTTACATGACATGGGCGGTGGTCTATGCTTCTGTCATTTTCGTCTTCGCAAAGAATCGCATCGAGCGGAAGCGGCGGAGTACCCTGTACAACTATTTTGCGCATGAGCTCGGCTTCACAAACATGTTGCCCGGCTGGCTGAGGGGCTACTCCGCTGTCCTCTTCATGATGGGTCATCAAACCCTTTTCCTGACGGGCCTTTGGTTCATTTTCGTACCCTTTCCGGTTCAGGTGGTTGCGACTTTATTGGCGATCATCGTCTTCTTTCACAACGGGGGGCGGTTTTATGTGGACCACTTCTGGAAGGCGCATGCGCGCAACACGGTGCTGTACTTGGACGCGGCCAACAACATCATGACCCAAGCTAAGGACACGGGCAGCCACAGCAGCCTGGAGAGTAGAAACACCGATGATTCACCCCACTAATACCGATGCTCCTTGAAATTTTAGGGTTCTTTGTTTTGCTGGGCCCCCTGCAAGGGCAGGGGGCGCGATCCCCCTGAGACCACCTTACAAGCCTAAGGAGAAGCACATGCACATAGGGCGGTTCGCCAAATTGGTGATCAGGGAGGTGCTTGGTTTTCGTGCGAGCACAGACCCACCCCAGCCTCAGCCCCGTGAGATACATGCCGCCATCAGTACAACATCTGGGCAAGTAGGGCAAGTTGTAACGAGCTGGGGGACCCATGAAGGCCCCTTTCGAGGTTGCTTTCTGGGTGAAGTGTTTCGTAGTTTGCGCAGATCGAGTTCGGGCTGGAGACTGGCGGCAAAAAATTCGCTTATGCGGCAACCAGCGCCGACCTGCGCACGCGAGCGTGCGCAAAACAAGCGCCTGGCACACAGGGATTGTGGCAAAACTGTTTTAAAACCTGCCTTTGGTGCCCTTGTAGTCGGAACCCCGGATTAATAAACCCCTGGTTGATTAATCCCCAAAAGAACCGTCCCCCGTAATAAACACACCTCGGAGGGAGTTTTATTATTAGGGGTCGCCGGTTTTTGCCTTAGATATAGTTCATTGATTGTTTGCTGTTTAGTTTTGGACTTGTATTGGAAAGTGGATCCCCTTGGATTTGCAGGAGAAAATGCTCAGATTGCAACTTTTTAGCAGGAACTCTGCAAGGGTCATTCCCGTTGTCAATTTCTTGGAATGTTTGGGGTTGGCGCGCGGACTCTAATAATAGAACTTGTTTGGGGAGCTTTGTTTTTTGGTTTGAGGAGGACAGCCCTTTTGAGTGTGTGTGTGTGTGAGCGTGTTTGCTGCACAGGCCCCAGTAGAATATAAAACAATGTAGACCCTAATAATAAAACCTGTTTAGGGAGATGCCCCTTTTGTTTTGGGAAGCTTGGTGGAAAACCTGTGTGGTCTCAGGAGTTTAGTATTGGCTTAGTGTTTGCTAGTTTAAAATTCGTGTTTGCGTTTTTTGGCGCGGCTGCGGGGATTTTTATCTTTAGGGGTAGGTTAATTCATAGGAAGCTGTGATGAATCCATTTTAGCAGGAATGCATCACGTTCGGAGGGGCCACCCCTATAAATGGGACAGTTTACTAATCCGGGGTGGGGTCAACCTTTTGAAGGGAAAACACAAGGAGGTTAAACGAATTCTTGTTCACACATGTTCGAAGCAGTTGCCCAACCCTCCTGACACGGAAAGGGCGGGCACCTGTGGGCCTTGGCAGAGGCAAGACTTGATTTGTCAAAGTCTGGGGTGGTGTTTTCCAGTTGCCTGGCGAACTTCATCACCCCCCCTTGAAACCCCAAGAGACCCCCCAACAAAAACACGAGGAAACAAAGCGGTACCAAAAAAGCGAGAGATGCCGAGGTTTGGAGAAAAACAAGAAGCACCTCCGGCCCTGCCGGTCGTGCACGCGCGGGCTCTCACTGGGGAGCCGGACGGGGATGGCGCGAGCTGAAAGCCTGAGAGGTCCTTTGAACAGGGGTCCCTATATTCCGCCATGTTCCCCCTTTTGGTGGGTGTAGACATGGCTGTGGGTCAAAAGTAGGTAACCCAAATGGAACCCTAGTGAGTGTACACATGGACCAAAACCTGCGGTCCACTGGTGGTTTAGTTTTGACTCATACCCGCATCACCTTTTGGGCTAGCTTGAGGTGAGTGTCCTTATGAGGTGATGTTTACAGGGACCTGTTTGTGTCCTCGGACAGGCTCGGGGCAAGCGTCAGGACGTCCGCCCTTGGACCAAGGCATGCTCATATGTCGCACACCTTTGGTCTGAATGTTTGTTTTCTTCACATCTACAATTCGCCGCATTGCGTTCGACTTCTTACCCTTCTTTCTCGCCCTATTCCTTTGTTTCTTCTGTCCTTCCTTCCTTCCTTCCTTCCTCTCTTCCTTCTTTTCTTCCTTCCTTTCTTCCTTCCTTCCTGCGTTTATTTTTTCTGTATGTACTGCTGTATGTCTTTATTTATGTATATACATATATACACACATATATGGTGTAGATCTTTCTTTATGGTACTACGCTCATGCCTTCCCTTCTTTAATTATATTGGTGTCTTTATGTGTTTATGTATGTATTTATTTGTTTATTGTGTCCTTTGTTTCTTTCTTTCTTTCTTTCTGTCTTTCTTTCTTTATTTGTTTCTTTCTTAAGTTCTTTCTTTATGTGATTGCCTAATTAGTTGTTTAATGTATCTCTCTCTCTCTATCTTTCGCTCTTCCTCTAGTTATTGCTTGCTGTATTTCTTTGTTTATGTCCTTCCTTTCTAGTGTCCTTGTTTCTTTCGTTCTTTCTTTATTTACGTGTGTATCCATGTCTTTCTTTCCTTCCTTCCTTCCGTTCTTTATTTATGTGTTTCGTTCTTTATTGTCCCTCTCTCTCTCTCTCTCGCTTCCCCCCTCTCTCTTTGTCCTCTCTCTCTCTCTCCCTCTCTCTCTCTCTCTCTCTTTTGTGTTCTCTCTCTTTCACTCTCTCTTCGTTTCACTCTCTTTGTTTCTCTCTCTCTCTCTCTCTTTTCGCCTCCTCATCTCTTGCTCTTCTTTACATTGTCTCTTGAGGCGGAGGGTGGACCCCCACACAGAATCCAACACTGACACATGAATGTCGAGCGTCACAGTCATTCCACACCCCTCAGCACTTATGGCGTGGGCAGATTTAAGCGAAGGATTCTTCCAACAGAAAAAGGCGTGGAGAGGCACATGGACACATGTTTAATGTGTTCCCCGCACATGAATGAACGTTGTTGAATGCTATTAAGAATGAATTATACGCTGTTTCCGTTCGAGGATAAGGAGGGTCCAGGTATGCCCAGGTTGACTTCAGATGGGTTTCAGTGTAGTTCACTGTGGGATGTGGTTTCTTCAAAGTGTTTTGGCTCACTGAATCAACACCCAGAGCCAGACGCACCAGAAAGATGCCCAGCGTTGCCGGCGTGGATGTTCCCAACTGGTGCCTAGCAGGGGCAGCAGTGCTCACGCCTGCGGCAATTTATGCATACCTGTTGAGAGTGAGCCGACAGCAACGGGAGTTCTTTGCGGAGACCCCTCAACCAAAGGAGACATCGCTTATCTTCGGCGGTCTGGAAAGCGCGGATTTGGTCAATAACCCTGAGAAGGGACTGGCTGCAATGAAGCAGTTCTACAAGGAGCTTGGGAATTCATGGGGAATCCGATTGCCCAAGTGGCTGTTCCCAAACACCCAGTTCTTGTTCCTTACTGCTGATCCGGTCATCATCTCGGAGATTATGTCGAAGAAGGACATCTTCCATTCAAGGCCAAAGGGCTTGGCTTTTGACACCACCATCCCCTTGGGCCTTTTGTCCTTGAGAGCAGAAGGGCCGCATTCGCGTTGGGCGCTGCATCGCCGCTTGGCTTCGCCCCTCTTCAGCGACAGCTTCCTGCTGGGCTACTCCGAGCAGGTCCAAGAAAAGGCGAAGTTGATGCAGTTCATTCTGAATGAAAGGATCAAAGCTGCCAAAGCAGAGGCGGCTGAGTGCGACCTCCAGCACTGCTTGAAGCTTTTGACCTTGGACGTGATTGGCAGCATTGGTTTCGGCTTCAATTCCAAGGCCACCATGACGTATTTGCCCGAAGACCATCCTCAAGCCTTGAGCGAGGCAGAAAAGACTGCTGAGCTGGAGTTCCTTAACCTCCGCTCAAGCTTTCCGCTGGGTTTTGAGGTGTTTTCCAGTTTGGATTTGGTTTCTTATTCAGCCTTCACCCCAACATTTGGAATACCAAGTCCGCGCTTTGCTCAGCTTGCCGAGGTTTCTGCAAGCTTCAGAGGTCATGTTTTTTGAGACTCACCAGCGAACTACGGAGCCATGGATGATGAGGTACTTGCCCCACCGCTTTATGCGCTGGCGGTGGGCAAAGGGTGTCATGGACAAGCGGATCAATGCAGTGTTGGTCTCGGGAAAGGAAAGCTCGAGTGGCGCCAAGTTGAACATGTTGAAGGCCCTTAAGGATGCACAGGAGGGTGGCCAAAAGATGAGCAAGGCAGAGGTGACCGACGAAATCCTGACGCTTCTGGCCGCCGGACACGAGACGACTGGCCACACCACGTCGTGGGCTCTCTATGAGGTTGCCCGGCATCCGGAGGTCCAAGCAAAGATGTTGGCAGAAGTATCCACTGTCGACCTGGAGACGCTTCCGTTGACACAGGTTCAGAGCTTGCTACCCTACTCGTGGATGACTTGGCAAGAGGCATTGCGCCTTCACCCAACAGTGCCCTTCATTCCTCGCCAAGCAGAGGTTGATACGACCCTAGGAGGGAAGTACAATCTGACTGCTGGCTGCGTTGTCTCTGTGAGTCAATTTATGCTAGCCGTGAATGAAGAGATGTGGGGACCAGATGCTGCAAGCTTTGTTCCAGAGAGGATGGAAAAGGGCTACCCCGAGATGCACCTGCCATTTGGGTTTGGAGGCCGGACATGCATTGGCAAGCGGCTTGCCTATGTGGAGGGTGTCTACTTGCTGGCTTTCCTGGTCAAGAACTTCAGCAGCAGAATCGGGGACGACGCCCCAGTCCCTTCACCCAGGGTCACGGTCACCCAGAGCGCTGCAGAAGGGATCCATCTCATGATCTCCAGCCGATAAAGATCCGAGTAGCTGAAACCCTATGTGCACTTTTATTTTGCGAGGGTCATTGGGGAGACACGTGCGACATCTCGGGCATGTTTAAAACATGGCCGGTTTTGCTTTTTGCAGGGATTTGTACCCGCAGGCAGCATGCGCAGGGAGGATCATCCGCCGAAAAGGTGAACGCAACGGATTGGGCATATGTGTCGAAGAGATTTGGCTCCTCCCTGTGAACCCACCTTAAACGGGGGTACCCCAAAAAGCCGATGTTATGTCCAGTTCCTGTTTTTGTTTTCCTGGCCCAGGCCTCAAGCGCTGAACCCGGCGATGGATTCGGGTTCCCGACACGCCCACTGCCTCGGCCTTTGGACGCATTAAGAAAGGGCCGTCCGGAATGGTGCCCGGAATAACTTGCTTCATGTAACTGCACATGGACTGGTTTATCTCCTTTCACGTTTGCAACGACTGTTGCAGGGATTGCCGTGGTGAACTCTGAGTTTGCTCCGAGATTTTTTGGGCAGCACAAAGTCTGAGAGACCTTGTAGGGCTGGTTTATCCAGAGGCCTCCGTAGGTTGGTGGTTTTATCTGCTTTCCCGGCTGCAACGACTGTTGCAGTGATTGCCGTGGTTTGGCAAGCTGAAGCATATGTGTTCACTGGTGTTGGATCTGTGCCGGAAGCCGGAAGACGATAATTGCACACAATGATGATAACAACGGTTTGATTGTAATGATGACGATGAGAACGATGACGATGACGACGATGAGGACGATGACGACGACGATGAGAACAATGATGATGACGATGACGACAAACATGATGTTGATGACGCCGATGAAGATGACGATAATGACGACGATGATGATGATAATGATGATTATTATTATTATTATTATTATTATTATTTTTATTATTATTATTATTGTTATTGTTATTGTTATTCTTATTCTTATTATTAGTGTTATTATTATTATTATTATTATTATTATTATTATTATTATTATGATTATTATTATTATTATTATTATTATTATTATTATTATTATTATTGTTATTGTTATTGTTATTGTTATTGTTATTGTTATTATTATTATTATTATTTGTTATTTGTTATTTGTTATTTGTCATTTATTATGTATTATGTATTATTTATTATTGATTATTTATTATTATTATTATTATTGTTATTATTATTATTATTATTATTAGTATTATTATTATTATTAGTATTATTGTTGTTGTTGTTATTAGTATTATTATTTTTTTTATTTTTATGTTTATTATTATTTTTTATTTTTATTATTATTATTATTATTATTATTATTACTATTATTATTATTATTATTTGTTATTTGTTATTTGTTATTTGTTATTTGTTATTTGTTATTTATTATGTATTATTTATTATGTATTATTAATATTATTATTATTATTATTATTATTATTATTATTATTATTATTATTATTATTATTATTATTATTATTATTATTATTATTATTATTATTATTATTATTATTACTATTATTATTAACGATGATGATAATGATGACGATGACGCTGACGATGGCGACGATGATGATGATGATGCAGATGGCGACACCCAAAGTAGCCCCAGTTGGTGGCAAATGTCACGATTCCACTTTCCCAAGAAAACCGCTTTGCCCGCAGCACCACGGGCATCTTGGGCCTTCACAGGGATGAGATTCGGCTGTTCAAGTGGTAGGCCACAATGAGTGCTTGTTTTGGGTCTGCACAGGATACAAGGGCCACAATGCCCGCAAGTCACAGCGTTGACATGGGCACCCGACCCGATTGACTGCTCACCACAGCCATTTCTAGCCACTCCGCCAGCAGCCACTTTGTCCTTACGTGCGGGATCCAAGTCCAGTGACGGGAAGGGGTGTCGACTGTACAGTTGCTCCCTTGGGTGACTTGTTATTTGCAGTGCCGTGATCAAAGGAATTTGAATTTCAGAAATTCACTGAAATGGTCGAATCCGTGCAGGAACAACGGCACAGACATGTGCCGACGTGGCGCAACCAAGGATGCAAGTTGCTCGACGGAGCGGCAATCCCTTCGAGCAGATGGTAAGTATGGTTCACTTGTTGCTGAAGAAATTGCCCCTTCGCTTCCAACAAAGGTGCAAGTGGGACGAGCGGCCAATCTGGCTTGGAGGCCGGCATCGTTGTCAAGTACTGACTGAGGTCAATATGGGCCGCTGCATTGTGCCGTGCCAAGCTATCTGGGCTTGAGGACTTTTGGGGACACTGGGCATCCGAGTTGAAATGCCCAGATTGGAAAGATGAACCAGATTCTCGCAAGACTCCTGGAGACAAGTGTGCGCTGCCAAGGTTTTGTTCAGTGTGGAAGGAGCACTCGTCGATGGCTGTCCAGTTATTCGCCCAGTTTCTCCCCACAGAGGGTTTTCTGGATGCCCCGAACCTTCGGCCGCCTCAGTCCAAAGCCGATCTACCGACCTTCGAAAAGCGTTTTTTGTTTTGCCCCCCCCCCCCCCCCGTTGCGTTTTTTGTCAATAGGCGCCAGGTGCGCCTTGCAACCCAAGACTCAGCTTCCCTCTGCTTGGTGGTTGGAACCACCGGTGGTTTGGTGGTCTTCCGGAGGGGTAAACCCAATTTACCCTCTGAGCCAGGTACCCCGTCAAATCCCCAAGCACCAATTTCCCATTCCCCCTCCACAAAAACCAGGGACCCCTTCAACTCCCAAGCCGGGCTTCAAAGCGCCAGCTCGAGCTGAAAGACGAGGAAAAACGAGCCCAAGACTCCACCGACGACCGGTCCCTTCGCTTGAGGTGCTCCCTTGCCTCTTGGCCATGGCCAGCTCCTCAGGTCGACGGTGGGGCCCGGTTTGGGACCCAAAACGAAAGCAGTCTTGCAGAACCCTCAGATCGTCAGCTTCCATGATTGTTGGACTAGCCTCGGAAATGGCTGTGGACATGAACCCAACCTTCACCGGTCCCAAATGGCCAGAGGTCTGGAAATGTGACTAGAAGTTTGGGTTCCCATGTTGATGTTGATCCATTTGGAGGGGGAGTGAATTAGTCTAACTTAAATCAGGGCAGGTCTAAGTTAAATTGGCTGACGTCACTTTCACCACACACACACACACACGATCTGCAACTTGCACGTGTGCCACCCAAAAAAAAGGGGGAAGAGAAAGAAAGAGTAGGAGGCGGCAAGCAGCAAGTTGGACGCGGTGCATCTTGTGTGCCTTGGCAATTCATATTGAATGCTCCGTAGTGCTTGCAGCTAAACAACAATGGATTTAGGCAACGTCTGGTGATGTTTGTGGAGCTATGCTGGGCTAGGGTGAGCCATCCAAGTACAGCTAATCCAAACACCCGGAAAACGTAATCTTACATGTTCGGAGAGTTGGGATAGTATTGTAAGATGACAACCAGGGCCCTTGCTAAACACATGTAAACCAGTGAACAACCCTCGAAATTGTGCGAAACTTACAATTTAGGTACCCTTTGAGGCAACATGTAAGCTACATGTTCAGACTCCCCCCGCCCGGAAGCGGGTGAGGATAATCCAACCATAAAAATGATGTCTAGCAAAGGGTCCTCAACGGCACAGTTTAGCCAAAAAGCTTGGGCTCCAGAGGAGATGTTCTATTTGAGAGTGTCCAGGTCAAACCCGGGGCTTCCCTGACAAATCACATCCCAAAAGGAGTGCTCTCAACGTGTGGATACGCTTTTACGTGAGCAACTGGCAAAACTATTGGTAGTCAAATGGCTTTTAGGAGAGCCTGGCACGACAATCCAAAACAAAATCCTGCAAAATCAGGGGTCCAGCCCCAACTTTTCCCTATGTCCTGAAAAAAATACAGGCATGTATTTGTCCGTGGCTGTCCAGCCTTTGGTTCCGATGCCGGACTCAGGCCGCGATGCTGTGTGCCACGACCTTTGTCAACGGCTGCCGATCCACCACCACCACCTCCTTGCGCCATGGTGCGCCACGAGAGCCTTCAGACCTCCAGTGGTGCTGTTGTTCATGTTGTTCTGTGTGTTTTGTGTGTGTGTGGTTTTTTGGGTTTTCATTGTTTTTCTCGTTCCTTTTACCAAAGAAGGTGCTCTTTTTTCCTACCACTTGAAGTTTGGGGAAAAATGATTTGTCTATGGTCCATTTGTGCCATGGTGGATGGGCCCCTGTACTTGGAGTTGGTGGGGACTAGGGTTTTCGAGGTTCCCAATGTCGGAATTCGGTCCATGACCTACGTAAGGGGGGGATCACTGCATTCTTGTACCAAGCAAGGGAACATGCCCATGTTTCCTTTCTCTCCCCAATTGGGGGAGCAACATATTTGAGCTGTGACTTGCAGGGTGGCCGAAGTAGGCGAAGCCTTTCTTGATCGCTCGCTGCGTGTCCAGCCACAATCAAAGCCCGAGTGCCGGTATTTCGAGACGTACCATGAGAAGCCACCTTGCGCCTCAACCCTGGGGTCTGTTGGGTTCAAACCATCGTTAAAACAATGGGGGGTTCCCATAGCCACTCTTGTTTATCATTGTGTATCTAAGGATTGTCAACGTCCAAATTGGGCCAACCTTTCCTTTGATGGGGGGTTGAACCCTAGGGGTAATGTTCACTTCAGAGGTTCCAAACTCAAGATGAGGCGGCGTTGTCCGCCATTTTCACCAACCAAGAAAAGGAAACCATGTTGGGTTCCCCAAATTTGGGCGTCTTTTTCTGAGGCTACCCCTTTTTTGGTGGTTTTAACGAGAAACCGTTGCGCCATTGTGGGGACAGCCCATGTTTTTGGTAATTGTCCTTGTGGTTTTCCTTTACACCCAAAAAGGGGTTCCCTTAAAAAAGAGAGACCCAAACCACCTCCAGGCCACCTCCAAACCACCTCCAAACCACCTCCGAACCACTGGATCGGCTCGATTTGCGTGTCACCACAGTTTCCCCCAAACCTTGCTTCCTTTCAAACTCAGTTGAAAACCCCAGATGTCCTTTCGGTTCTCCTTGAAACCCGGGTTGAGGGGTTCCCAATAAAAAAAGAAACAAAAAGAGAGACCCAAACCACCTCCACCTCCACCTCCAAACCTCCAAAGGGGTTCCCGAAAGACGAAGACGTCTTCGCCCGAACGGATCGACCGGAGACGAAGTTCGCTCTCCAGGCACTCGAGCGCTGCCTGAGACCTTCGAGGCCCTGGAGCTGGGATCCAGCGTGAACAGCGCCCTGGAGGCCGCTTGGATTTGCTTCTTGCGTTTTTGTTTTTGATATTTGGTTTCCGTCTTGGTTTTATGTGTGTGTGTGTGTTTGGCTGTGTCTTGTTTTTTTTCTTGTTTTTTGTCTCTTAAAAAAACAAGCATGTGTACTTAACCAATGAAGTGTGGTTTGATTAGCTGAGTTGAGTTTAGTTGTGTTTGAGTTGGCGTGTGCAGTCGGTTGAATACTTAAGTCTTATTAGTTGGTTGGTTGAGTTTAGTTTAGATTTGTGTTGTTTAGTTAGGTTGGTAGTTGGTGTTAGTTGATGAAGTAATGAGTTAGATAGTTAGATAGTTAGATACTTAGATGGCTGGATAGCTAGATAGCTGGATAGTTGGATAGTTTGATGAATAGATAGCCAGCTAGTTGGATTGTTGGATAGTTAGATAGTCAGTGCGATAGATAGCCAGCTTGTTAGATAGTTGGATAGTTGCAAAGTTAGCTAAATAGATAGTCAGATAGTTAGCGAGATAGTTAGACAGTTAGATAGTCAGATTTAGGTAGCAGGTAGATAGTTCTCGACTCAGGTAGATAGTTAGATAGTTAGATGTTTAGATCGTTAGAGTTAGCTAGTTAGTTCGATAGACACACAGATAGATAGTCAAATACTTAGATAGTTAGATATGTGGTTAGATAGTTAGCTTGTTCGTTGGGTAGCTACTATGTTGATAGGTAGATAGTCAGTTTTTTAGTTCAGTTAGTTAGTCAGTTCGTCAGTCAGTCAGTTAGTTGGTTAGTCGATTAGTTAGTTAGTTAGTTAGTTGCTTACATAGTGAGTTAGTTAGTTTCATAATTGCTCAGCTGCTTAGCCTGCTTTTTTGTTTGTTTGTTAGTCAGTTACTGTTTCTCGTGAGCTAATTTGCTATTTATTCTTGGAGATATGGCACCCTCCCATCAATTTTGACACGGAACCTACCAGACTCCCTTTTAGAGGAAGACGATCTTCATGTTTGTGGAGGATACGCCGAACACCAAATGTCAAAGTTTAAGCAAACAACACGTGTATGTGAATGGGCCTGCTTCGTGTGCTCCTTCCTTCTTTGCCCTTCCTTCTTTGCCCTTCCTGGATTCTGACATTTTTGAGGAAGCCGCCCCCACCCCCCCCCCCCTCGCGTGCTAAGCCTGCTGCTATTGGCTGTCGGCCATCTGGGCCAGGTGTCCACGCCAGGATGGTGGGCAAACATTGCAGCTCGGCCGAAGTCGGCGCTCGCAAAAGCGGCGCCACGTGGAGGTGCAGTAAGTTCGTGTATATCTACAGGTCTTTCTGTGAGCAGGTTTTAACCCCCTAGGGCCTGCAGGTGTCTGGATGGTTGAGCGGACAAAAACGGAGCTGTTTTATTCAGAAAGCGATCCGCATCTCGACCTACTGACCTAACAGTTGAGTGGCTGGCGGCTCGGCATGCCAGAGCGTTGCCAGACTTTCACCTTCCAGCCCCTTTGCCTTTTTGGCCTGTCTTCAAGTTGTTCCCATTGGACAAGCAAAAAGCGGTCGTTTTCTGTTTTGGGCTGTGGCTCCCTGATATCCCGGTAGCTTTTTAGTGTTTAGTGGGGTTGTCCATTTCGCCCACTAAAAGTTAAACTTTCAGTTCTGCAGCTGAAAACGGACAGCCCAGTGTCTGATTTAAGTCGTTGAGTTGAACCAGCAAAAAGCTGGTGTTTCTGTTTTTTGCTTTCCTTTTCTGCTTCATCCTTCCCCATAACCAGTCGGTCCCCTAGCTGGCGGGCGCTCGGCCGCGCTGAGGTGACGCTGGTGGTGCCCCTAGCCATCCTCATCACCTTGTACCTGCAGTCGGAGAGGCGGGCAGTGGAGACGTTTTTACCGGGAGGAAACGAATTGGTACCTCGTGTTGTTGGCCTAGGTCACCCCAGTAGTGCCCTCTCTCACTTTGTTTTTTTTTGTTTTGGGGGGGGGGCGGGTTCCCCTACTAAAATAGGGTACAGAAAAAAGGGTACCCTTTTATCTAACCTCTCTACTGGAGGACCTAGTTGGCAGCCCAATTGCTCGGTGTCCAAATCTGTACCAGATCTGTATCTGATACAGACACTTGGGAAATCTGCCTGTATCATACATCAGAACATTGACAGCTACATGTATATATAATAACTAGGGTTATATCCAGTGGCCATGGGAGAAAAAGGCCCTCATCCTTTTGGCATAGGTGCGGTTTTGCTCACTCAGGTTTTAGAAATGGACGGAGTCCACTGGTTTCGGATGATTTTCTTGCCCAGTTCCCAGGGAGATCCATCCATTTTCGTTGGGAATTGGGGTTGGCAGCCACCTTTGTCACTCAGACTCAGCAGTTCCAGAAGTTTCCTACATGTGGGTGTGTCATTTTTGCGGGTACTGTTGTTTGTGAAACCAAAAGAAAACCCACCACTTTGCGGGGCTCCCCAAAAAAGACGCCCATTTCCCAGTTGGGTGGTGTTCAACATCGCCATAAGGGGCCAAGTGAATGTGGGTTTCCCTTTGGTGATGTTTAAAGAAATATCGGGAGCCCTGACTGGATGGACGAAACCCATACCAGTTGACGAGTTGGAGATGAAAGAATACTGGTTCACAAACTACCTACCCACTGGCGCAGTATGTTGTCCATCCACAGTATGTGTGGTGCTGGTTGCTTTACCCAACAAAAGGAAAGTTGTGTTCCGAAGGGGCATGTACACTTCCAAGTCGCATTGGTGCTGGTCAAATGATCGGGAGTCGTTTGTTTGTTGATGGAAGACAACAAAGGGGGCCTCCCGAAAAAGAAAGAAAAAAAGAGGGAAACAAACGGGGCCTGCCCGATGTTCATACGCTCTCCTGGGGGAGCAAATGATATTGACCGCATATAGTTTGTAGCTCCCTGTGTGTGTGTGTGTGTGTATGCGCTATGACATTTATAGCAAATTACCGGCCCAAAGCAAGCAACCTGGATGACTGAGGGCTGCAGGGACCTGTCCCCATCGGGATAGTTCAGAAGCAGATGCTCAGATCCCTGATTTCATGCTGAATTTGATGGGTGGGTGAAAAAATAGGGGACACCCAGAATGGTGGCGTTTTTGGGTGGTTTCCCCTTAACCAACCTGAGAAGGGTACCGAGCCTCAGGCGCAAGGCCAACCTGTGAGTGGCAGAGATGTATTTTGATTCGCGGATTTGATTTAAGCCGCGCTGTCGTTGGCAAAGCTGCCGGCGACGGACATGTCGAGGGAAGAAAGAGGAAGGTGCCAAGCGAAGTGCGGATCAATCTGGAGGACCCTACTTGTCAGAGGCATACCCTGAAACTGATGAGCTCCTTACGAAAAGGGGCACCACCCCTGATTAGTACCGGCCTGGAGATGAATTTTTAGGCATTGTGATGTCTTGGGCACTAAGTGACGGGCACGGAAATGTTGGTCGCTCCAAGTCCTGCGAGGAGAGTTTAGAATCAGACTCAGAAATTCATGCGCAATGTGTTGCGTCAAATGGATTTGGCTGGGTCCAAACCAGAGGTACCATTTTGGGATAGGTGTACCACCCATTTTAGTCTGTTTTAGGGGGGATTGGGATGGGTTTTGACCCATGGCCATTTGTGTCCAAATAGGAAACCACCTTAGAAAAAGACATACCCAAATGTCAATAAGTCCAGAATGCACCCCGCAATGATCCGGTTGGCCGTGCCGTTTGAAGATCAGGCTCGGCCATGGTCATGTTCAAGGGAGAGCACATCTCTCGCCAAAGCACTGCCTGACAAATGAGTGGCCCTGCAATGAATCCTGGAACAAGAAGGTTTCGAAGGTGGAATCAGTTCTTCCTGTTTGGATTGAAGAGCTATAGAGACTTTGAAGTAGCAGCCGGTGCAAGAATGTAGGGAGTTGGGCTTTGGTTGCCTCCATGAGACTCGATGTCACTGGAAGCGAAGCACGTTGCGCGAGCGGGATTCTAACCGGGCGCATGCCGAACTTGACCATGCGATGACAGTTGCAGAGCAGCCAGTCGCTCAGGACTGTAGGGATTTGGTTGAACCTGCAAATGTTCGGCACAGTCAAAATCGATGGATGCCGGACTGTGGCTTTCATTAGCAGCTCCCTCAGGTATCAGGTGTCCAAAGGATGTTGGGAAGAAACCCGAGCGAAGGGTGGGTTTCAGCCTCGGGCTCATTGAGTCATAGATGGGGTGCCCAGAAAGGTCGCCTTGCGTGAATGGAAGCCAGGGTCGGGCCAACCCCAATTGTTTTTCTTGTTTTTTCTTTCACATGTAAACAGCAATTGTTGTTGTTTTGTTTTTGCCTGTTGGTTCCCCTTTTGATTGGGACCAAAACGGGCCTGGTTGCTTTTCAGCAACAGGTTATGTCTGGAATCGGAACCCCCCCCAAAGAAAAAGAAAAGAAGAAGCGTTGGTTTTCATTTGGCTTCCCTTCAAAAACAACAAATTTTGCATTAAGGGCCCACCACCTTCGGGCAAAGGGGGGCTTTAGGGGGACCTTAAGGGGGGGCTTAAGGGGGGCTTCAGGTTCCGACCTTAAGGGAGGGCTTAAGGGGGGGCTTAAGGGGGGGCTTAAGGTCTTAAGGTCGAAGGGGGGGGCTTAAGGGGGGGCTTAAGGGGGTGCTTAAGTGGGGGCTTAAGGGGGGGCTTAAGGGGGGGCTTAAGGGGGGGCTTAAGAGCGGGCTTAAGGGGGGCTTAAGGGGGGGGCTTAACAAGACCAAGATGTGCAGGTCTTTACACGATATGGCCCTATGAATTCTTCTGAAATGCGCAAGATTAGCTTAGTGAAGGAAGGGAAGGACATGACGCTGTTTGCTTCCGGCCCTTGATGGATGCCCTGATTACATTTTGTCGGGGTTCTCGTTCTACGTCAGTCCTCTTTGGTTCCGCTCTCTCCTTTTGGTTTTGTCCTCTTTTTCATGAAGGGCACCAATGCCAAGCGACGGCGCAGCGCAGGCGGAGCGCAGGCGCAGCGAAGGCGGAGGGCGCAGGCCGAGCGGAGGCCGAGCGGAGGCGCGGCGGAGGCGGGGCGGAGGCGGAGCGGAGGGCTTGAGGGGGCGAGGGGGGGCGGCCTGCGGCTCAAGGGGGGCTTCAGAAGGGGCTTACCGCAACGCAGGCGGAGCGGAGCCGAACCGAAGGCGGAGCGAAGACGCGGGGGAGGGCTTCAGTCTCCGTCCGGGGGAGGGGGGAGGGCTGGGTTTCCAGGCGGGGTTTGGGGCGAGGACCTTAAGGAGGGCTTAAGGGGGGCTTACAGGGGGGGCTTCAGGGGGGCTTCGGGGGGGCTGCAGGGGGGGGGGGCTTCAGGGGAGCTTCAGGGTGGCTTCAGGGGGGGCCTTCAGCAAGGCTGAAAGGACGGGCCCGAAAGCGGGTCTGCGGGGGGGAGCCTTTTTCCCGCCTGCGCGCGCGGCGCGCGAGTGTTCCCCCGCGTGGCAACCTCGACCGGGCCTGGCCGGTTCGGGGGCGCGGGGGGAACTAAAACCCAGGAGCGCCCGGCCCTTAGTTGCACGCGTCCGCGCAGCGCACTTGTTGTTTCCGAGGTCAGACCCGAAGCCGGCGCTGGTCTTAGCACTCCAGCCGTGACACGCCAGAACCGGGAAACGCACAGGACTGGAAAAGCGCGCGTCGCGCCCCAAGGCCAGACGAGCCGAGGGCTGCGAAAAAGACTTGCAGCCGGAAGCAGAAGCCACGACGGCGTGTCCGCTTTGAGGCCGTCCTTTCCAGGCTAACAACGCGGCGGGCGGGGCGCTCAAAAAACGACAGTTGTCGAAGACGAGCAGAAGAAAGAAGAAAAAACCAAAGAAAACAAGAACGCGCGGAAGACAGGCAGCGGAAAAACGAGCAAGCTAAAGAAAACGCAAAAAAACGAAAAAAAAAATAGACCACGGTTGACCCGAAAGCAGAACATCGCAAGCGAGGTCTGCAACGCTGCAGGATGCGTTCTTTTTCCCTACACGAAGCATTCGTGAAGCAAGCGCGAGACAGCACCAGGCAAGGTGCTCTGTGCAAGTTGCTCTGTGCAAGTTGCTCTGCGTAAGTTGCTCTGCGCAAGTTGCTCTGCGCAAGTTGCTCTAGGCAAGGCGCTCTGCGCAAACTGGTCGGTGCAAGTTGGTCTGCGCAAGTTGCTCTGTGCAACTTGCTCTGCGCAAGTTGCTCTGCGCAAGTTGCTTTAAAATGCAAGTTGCATCTTGCGACGCCCGCCCGCGGACCAGGGAGGAATCGAACCCGCGACCCGCCGGTTCCGGGAGCAGGCGCGCGAACCACGAGACAACTCCCGAGGACCAGTTCGAACAACAAAAGTCGCAAAAAACCTCGAGTTTTTGCACCTCGACCACGCCGATCCCCGCAGAGGGTTGCGCGGGCACCGCAGAAATCGCAAAAAACCATGGGTTTTTGCACCTCGACCACGCCGATCCCCGCAGAGGGTCGCGCGAGCACCGCAGAAATCGCAAAAAACCATGGGTTTTTGCACCTCGACCACGCCGATCCCCGCAGAGGGTCGCGCGAGCAGGTTAGAAATCGCAACAAACCCTGAGTCTTTGGACCACGCCGATCCCCGCAGAGGGTCGCGCGGGAACTTCGCAGAGGGTCGATTTTCGTGTAGTGTCGTCGGCACTACCCCGCCGCCCTAAGAAGAGATTTTAACTCCTCGCAAGTCAATTGCACTTGACTCCTTGCACTTGCAACTTGCACTTGACTCCTTGCTTGTTTCAAGGAGTCATTGCAAGGAGTCATTGCAAGGAGTCATTGCAAGGAGTCATTGCAAGGAGTCATGCAAGGAGTCATTGCAAGGAGTCATTGCAAGCATCGCAAGGAGTCATTCAAGGAGTCATTGCAAGGAGTCATTGCAAGGAGTCATGAGAGCCATTGCAAGTTGCAAGGAGCCAAGTGCATGGAGTCAAGTGCAAGTCGCAAGTGCACGGAGTTAAGTGCAAGTTGCAAGTGCAAGGAGCCAAGTAGCCAAGTGGGAGCCAAGTGCAAGTGCATGGAGTCAAGTGCAAGTTGCAAGTGCAAGGAGTCAAGTGCAAGTTGCAATCCTTGCCATGACTCCTTGCAATGACTCCTTGCAATGACTCCTTGCAATGACTTGACTCCTTGCAATGACTCCTTGCATGACTCCTTGCAATGACTCCTTGCAATGACTCCTTGCAATGACTCCTTGCAATGACTCCTTGCAATGACTCCTTGCAAATGACTCCTTGCAATGACTCCTTGCAATGACTGATGATTCCTTGCAATGACTCCTTGCAATGACTTTGCAATGACTCCTTGCAATGACTTCCTTGCAATGACTGACACCCTTGTAATGACTCTCATGAGAACAACTCAAGTGAACCCAGCGGAAGAACCCTTCGCCATGCTTTCGGGAAAAAAACGAGAAAACGCGAAGCGAAACCCAGCCAAAAACGAGGGAAAAAAAAACGAAAAAAGACAGAAAACAGCAATTGGCACTTAGGGTTTAGGGTCTTCCCTTGGAAATTTCGAAACACCGTTCGGACCGACACACGCGAAAAAGCACGCAAATAACGCGAAAAGTTTTTTGTCAAGAAACAAGAAAGCGAGGCGGGAAGACGCAGCCGGAAGCAGAAGCCAAGAAAGCGCTTCCGCTTTGAGGCCCGACCTTTCCAGGCCGACGATGGTGGGCGCTCGGACTGTCGCAGACCAGCGAGACGCAGCGCAAACGCACAGAATGCGAGAACACGCGGGGAAGAAACGCCGCGAACCGGCAAGCGAGCGAGAGACGTGCGGGAAAAAGAAAAAAAGCCATGCCCAAGAAGGCGACGCGTAAGGCATGACCCAGCGACTGACAAAAAGGAAGATCGAGAAACACTGCCAACGCAGATTTGTGCTTAGGGTTTAGGGTGTTCCCTTGGAAATCTCGTTTCACCGTTCGGGGCCGAGACACGCGAGAATGCGCGCAAATACCGCGCAAAGTTTTTATCAGCCACCGCTAACAAGGCGGGAGCTGCTTCAATACCAGGCCAGCACGGCGCTCAGCCCTTACGGAACCCCGCCAGGATAGTTGGGTTGGAGCGCCAGAGTAGGGGGGACTTCTGGTTCGTCGCAACATGGCTGCCACGTGTCACGACAGTACAGCTCTTCCGTTTCCGTTGAGGTCTCGCCCGTGTTCGCGCGCTGAGGTGCTGGCATGTGCGGTGCCTGGGCTGCCTTCGGAGGCAACTCTGCGTGGGAGGCTGGGTGCTGGGCGCATGTTGCAACGTGCTTGCAGCCGCCTTGCGGCTTTTGGAAGGCCGAGCCGGCGTGTCTCTGCTGCAGCCTTTTGCCACAGTGACCTTGTAGCCCCTTCTTTGCTTGTCTTCCCCTGCTGGCATGGCGCCTGCTCTGGTGGCACTTGTATCGACCCTGCCGGAGCTGAGGTTTGTCCTGCGAAGCCTCTTTCACATGCAAGATTGGTTGGCGCTCCTGGTGGCCCTGCCTGCCGCTCTTGCTGCGGACTGGTTGCCTGAGGTGCAGACCCTTCAGGCCCGTATGCTGGGCCGGCTGCGCCTTCTTCTTGCTGAAGGTTTAGTGCTTCCTGGCCAGCCGTTGCGGCCGCTACGAGGGGCCTTTGCCTGGCATGGCGCCCCGGTGCGGCCGCTTTCTTTCGCGACTCATTCCTGCACGCTGGAACATCGCCATTGGTGATGCAGTCGAATTGTCTGTGGACGCGATCGCTGCTTTTAACGCTCCGCGGGGCGACATGTTTCGGCGGCTGGCAGAGACTCTCGGGGACCTGGCACCTGAGTTCTGGTGTGTGGATGACGCAGTGCCTGCTGACATGTTGCTGCCTTTGCAGCTCCAGGGGCGTAGGGCAAGATTACTCCCACCTCTCGGGGGTTCGCTGTACGTTCCTCTTCGTGCAAGCAGAGGGGCTGGCGGCATCTATTGCTTTTTGCGACCTGGAGGACGCTTGGGAGACGATCACGGACAGCGAGGCCGTCTGGTCGGAGGCGGCAGATTCGGACCCTGACTTGGAGGAGAGTGAGTCTGAGGGCGAGCCTTGCGGGGCTGATCTTTCTAT